AGTGTCTTTCATGGAAATTCACCCCTCTCCTTCTATTCCCATCACCGCCATAATTTAAGCCCTCATAACCTCTCACTTTAACTATTATATTCACTTCCCAACAAATCCTCAGGTCTTTACTCTCTTTCCCCTTCCAATCCATCCTGTACACTGATGCTAGATTATAGTCTTTATGCACAATCAGTTTGTCAGTCAAACTGGCATTTATTATGTATCTACTACGAATCAATCACTGTGCTCACCGTGGTGGGGAAAGATTGCAAAGAAAAGCAAGATTGTCCCTGTCGAGGAGCTCACAGTCTGATGGGGGAAATAACATGAAAACAACTGTATAAACAAGTTGCATATTGGAGGTGATCAATAAAAGGAAGAAATCAGCCTTAAGGGAGATTGGGAAAGACTTCTCACGGAAAGTGGGATCTTAGTTGGGACTTGAGGGAAGCCAGGGAAGCCAGGAGGTGGAAATAAGGAGGGACAGCATTCCAGACATGGGAAATGTCCAGTGAAAATGCCCGGAGCCTGGAGATTGAGTATTTTGTTTGAGCAATGGCACACATCTGTTTATGTCACTACTGTGCTCAAAATCCTTCTACGCCTCTCTATTATCTACCGAATAAAATCCAAACTCCTTTGTCTGGAAGTCAAGTATAAGCTTCTCTACCTTTCCAGTTTTGTCTCAAACTATTTTTCTCTTCTATCAGCCCCTCCCACTCCCCACCCCTATACTGTATACTCCAGCCAATCTGGACTATTCTTTGTCACTACAATATACGCCATACCTTCTCGTGACTATGATTTTGTTCATTCCTTTCTTTAGGCCTGGAATGCCCTTCCTCTCCAACCACACACAACCCTCTCTGTTGAAAATATCCAACTAAATCATGTTCAAAAGCCAATTCTTCCAAGAAGCCTTCCAGATCTTCCCATTCAGAAATAATCTGTCCTTCCTCAGAAATCACATAGCACTTTCTTTATGCACAGCATTTGGAGTCAGAAGACCTAAATTCATAACTTAATTCTGAAATTTACTTGGACTAGAGTTATTTACCTCTCTTGGTCTTAATAGTCTCATCAGGAAATAATTATATTTGCATTACCACAGAATTATGGTAAAGGAAATGCTTTGTAAAACTTAAAACAATAAACAAATTCTGTCTCAGAATGTAAGCTCCTTGTGAATAGGGACTGTGCCACTTTTATATTTCAACTCTAACCTCTAGCACAGTGTCTGACACATTGTAGACACTTAATAAATGCTTGTTGATTGATTTAAACTCAGCCTACTCTTTTCTTATTCTACTCCTCTCATCTATGTTTCCACTAGACATGATGAATGTTAATCTGCTAACAAATAGCAAAATTTTTGTGCTTATTGGACAGTTTATTAGAATTCTATTTCCATTTTTTTATTATATTGCTTTTTAAAAATCAATTAGTAGTTTTCAGAAGACCATTTGAGTGGCTTGTTCTTAATGACCTAGCAATAACTGTTTAGTAGACTTTTGGTTATGATTGTTTAGCTCAGTCAATGATCATACTACCTTTTCATCCTGCTTTTTCCATTTCAAGAGGAAATCTACAAATCCTCATAAGACAGTTTTAATGTCAAGTAACTATACATCACTTGCCCAACCACAGGAGGAAAGAGTATATAGCCAACAATTGTCATATTGTATTTTGTTTTATCCTTAGTCATCTATATGTTTTATCTCCCTTAAACAATTGTAAGCTCCCCGACAGGAGGGACTGTGCATTGTATTTCTTTTTATCCATTCCTGATCCCTAGAATAACACTTTACCAATGTGTATTTAATAATTGTATCTTTAACAGAACAGATAAACATAAATGTTAAATAGGAGTTTAGATGATTGTATTAAAAACTTTTGAAATATTTAAAAGGTTTTAATGTTTCAGTTTCATCTTAATCTAAGCATGGTCTTATCGGCTTGATTAGAATGTTTCCTTCTTACTCAGCCTGAATCTTTATATTGGATTCAAGCCTCTCCCAACACTGAAACTGGGTTCCAGTACAATAGTGCTTCCAAACTTAGGACTTGAGACCAGCCTGACATCAGAATATTAATGCTGTATCTTCATAACAACGACAAGAATAGTATTCTCTGATGAGCCACTTAGAAGTCATTAAAAAGTATCTATCCTCAGTTATCCTGTCCAGCTCAGATATATCTTCCATTCCCTCTGATCGTCCTCCTTGCCCTCCATACCCTCCTCCTCCTCGTCCTCTTCTTCCTACTCCTCCTCCTTTTCTTCCTCTCTCCCCCCCCCAGAAGCAAAAAAGGAAAGGTTGTAGCTATGCCTCAATGATAAGATATGCCTCAATGACTGACACTTTTTATCATAATTAACGAATAAGTATTAAGTATCTATCATGTGCCAGTGCTAGACATTGGATGTACAAACATATACATGAGACAGCCCTTGCCCACAAAGAGCTTTTTCTCTTGATGGGGGAAAGAGAAGGAGAGAGGGGAGGAAGGAGAAGACAGACAGAAAAAGATAGACACAGAAAAAGACATAGAGAGAGACAGAGAAAATGGTATAGTAGAAAGCACATTGGTCTCAGAGTTAAAAGACATGAGTCAGAGTCCCTGTTCTGACAGTGTGGAAGGGATATTGAGCAAGTCATGCAACCTCTGTGTGAGTCAGTTTCCTCACTTGTAAAATCAGGAGAATAATACTTGTATTAGCTACCTCACAGGATTATTGTGATTAGGAAAGTAATAATTTAAATAATATAGTATTCAAGTGCTATGAAGATATAAGTGTTTAGTTCTGGTATATGAATGTAATGGAATATTATTGTGCTAAAAGAAATGATGAACAGGCTGACTTAAGAAAAACCTGGAAAGACTTGTATGGTCTGATGCTGAGTGAAGCAAGCAGAACCAAGAGAACGTTGTATACAGTAACAGCCACATTGTGAGATGACTAATATTGATAAACTTAACCCTTTCCAGCAATACAAGGATCTAAGACATCTCCAAATGCCTGTGATGGAAAATGCTCCACATCCAAATAAATTACTATGGAATTTGTATTGCTATTTTTTTTCTTCTGTTGAGTTTTGTTTCCTCTTTCTGGTGGTTCCTCCTATTGGTTTTAATTTTTACTTACAACATCACTAATGTGAAAATATGTTTAATAGGAATGTATATGTATAGCCTATATCAGATTGTGTGCCATCTTGGGAAGGGTGATGGGGAAGAAGGGAGAGACAAATTTTAAACTCAAAAGCATATGGAAGTGATTGTTGATAAATCAAAATAAATTAATAGAATTTTTAAAAAATATATAAATGCTTAAAGTGCTATAGAGAGATGTTTTCTGCTCCCAAATTTCAATGATTAAAGATAAAAGAAACATACTTCTTCCCATCATAAATCTCCTGGATCAGTTGCTGGGATAGGTATCACATGAAATTAAGATTCAGTAACACCTTCCCCTGTTCAGGTCACCCCTAGCAACAACCTTTTCCATATACACAAGATCAGATGTAGATAGGTTTAGCAGAACTGATTTCCAAAAAAGCTCATATCTTGACCAAAAAATTAATAATTTACAGAGAAAACAAGTGTTTGAAAACAAGGGTATAAGAATGATAGTGACCTATGTAAGCAAGGGAAAAAGGTAAAGGGAGAGGCTAGGTGTGTAAAAAGACATTTTTTTCCTGCATCACCATCACTTTCTAAAAACACTTACCAGGCACAAATTTTGCTAGACAATGGAGATACAAAATACAGAAGTGGGATAATTCCTGCCTTCAAAGAGAATACATTCTAGTGAGGGGGCATATAAAATTTTAAATGACAATAATAAGTGAAGGAAGCAGGAAATAACTCTTCAAAGATGTGACATATAAACTGATCCTAGAAAGTAGCTAGGGGTTCCAAAACATGAAGTTGAGGAGGGAAAGCATTTTAGATATAGGGGACAGCCTGGGTGACAGCAGAGAAGTAGAAATTTGAATGTCCTGCCAAGAGAAGGGTAAATAAGTCACATTAATGTATGATGGAGATGAATGTGTAGTTATCACCACATACACCCAAAAGAAGCTGGAACCAAATTGGAAAAGGCTTCAAAAGCCAAAAAGAGGAGTTTGCATTTTATCCTACAGACATCTAGGAGCCTCTAAACCTTCATGACCGAGGGAGTAGAACATCAAGAACTTTCCTGTGCAACACAGAAATATAATTAAACCAAACTGACCTTGAACTTATCCAAGTTTAACAACATATACATTCACTCTATATCCAATTCCTCCACCTCTCTGCCAAGAGGGGGAGGTACATTTCACCATCAGTCTTTTGGAGTCAAAATTTGTCATCATATTGAATAGAATGAAGGCACACTTTGCTGACTTCATAACTTTACATCTTTAGGCTGGCCTTGGGCTGGTCCAAGAATCTGATCAAATAGGTATCTTCATTCTTAGTGGAGGAAAAGAAATCTTTTCTTTATTCTTTTCTCTTTCTTTTTCTTTCTTTCATCCATTCCCTTCTTTCTCTCTCCTTTTCTCTCTCTCTCCTTTCTTTCTTCCCTTCTCCCTTTCTTCCATTGTTTCTTTCTTTCCTTCTTTATTTTTCTTTTTTCTTTCTCTCTCCTTCTTTCTTTCTCTTTCCTTCTTTCTTTCCTTTTTCCTTCCTCCTTTCTTTCCTCTTTTCTTTCTTTCTTTCCTTTTTTCTTCCTCTCTTTTCTTCCCTCTCTTCTTCCCTCCCTCCCTTCCCTTTTCCCTTCCTTCTTTTCTTTTTCTCTTTCTCTTTCATCCTTTCTTCCTTTCTCTCTCTTCCTCTTTCTTTCTTTCTTTCCTTCCTTCTATCTATCTGATAGGAAAGAGATGTTTTCTACTTGCTAAGAACTAAATAGAATACACTATGGTCTTTCTTAAGAGCCATAGAATCTCAGAAAAATAAAATGAATAGGTCTTGGGTTGAATATGCATGCCCACTAGGATCTGACTATGTGTGTCTTTTCTTTGCAGAAGCCTCATGCCCAGGACACTTGAAAGTCAAATTACAATGGAGAAAACACCCAGCTACTTTGTCACCAAGGAAGCCCCAAGGAGGATTTTCAATATGTCCCGAGATACCAAACTGATTGTGGTTGTCCGAAACCCTGTGACAAGGGCTATCTCAGATTACACTCAGACTCTTTCCAAAAAGCCAGACATCCCAACCTTTGAGGGGCTCTCCTTCCGCAACCGGAGCCTGGGACTCGTGGATATGTCTTGGAATGCCATCCGCATAGGCATGTATGTGGTGCACCTAGAGAGTTGGCTTCAGTACTTTCCACTGGCCCAGATCCACTTTGTCAGTGGTGAGCGCCTCATCACAGACCCTGCTGGGGAGATGGGCAGAGTCCAGGACTTCCTGGGCATTAAAAGGGTCATCACAGATAAGCACTTCTATTTCAACAAGACCAAAGGCTTCCCTTGCTTGAAAAAAACAGAAAGCAGCATTCTTCCCCGCTGTCTGGGAAAATCCAAAGGGAGAACTCATGTACAGATAGACCCTGAGGTGATAGACCAGCTCCGAGACTTTTATAGACCATATAATATTAAATTTTATGAAACTGTTGGGCAGGACTTCAGGTGGGAATAAACAACTTGTGATGGGAGTGTACTCTTCAGGCTTCAATGAGGATAGCTCTTGAGTACACATGTTCTACTCCCTGCCACCACCATCACACACTTACCCATGAGTTCCATGTTACCTAATGCCTCATATCACCTCATCCTTCCTTCCCCTCACCCTCAACACAACCATAGGACAGCCAAACCTTTCTGGGGCTAAAAAGGCTAGGGGAAACCAATCTGGCCTTTTCTGACCTGCCAGATCTCCTAAAAAAGGAAATCAAGGCAGGTCTGTCCCTGGTCCAACAAGGTTCCTGTTTACCTTTGGACCTGTTTCTGCCACATGGGAGTCACCCACAGAGCCCTTTAAAACAGGATGGGTATGACTTCCCTGCAGTAAAGGGGCAGTCCTGGACAACCTGCCTGTGAAGAAAATGAATTTTCCCAGCGATTACAAATATATTGCTATGTATACACCAGTGTATCCCCATTGCTGTCTACACAGAAATGGGCTTTGTAAACTCAGTTCCTAATTGGCATGTGCCTACCCTTTATGCCCATGGAGAGTTCACTGGCTCAGACCTCCCAATACAGTCTGGGGGAAAAGAAGAATCCTTCCATCATAGCCCCACCCCACACCTTCCAGATCCCTGAGAGCAACCTTCCTGCCCTGTCCTCTACCACCAGGAGTTAGAGAAAGGAAGGACTCTCATCATACCCAGGAAGGCTGAGCTCTTGATCTCTGAGAGAAACCTGGGACCATGAAGATAATAATGGAGATGTCTGGAAAGCAATGTCTTTGAAAGCCACATTGTGATGATAGCTGGTCCTGTGAATAAAGCACAGATTTTTGTGGTTACGGGTACTTCACTGGCACTAGTATTCTTGTTCAGCATGTAATTCATGCTTGTTCATGTGAAATAAAGATGGCTCTCTCTCTCTCTCTCTCGTCCTTAACAATGTGCTTTTTTTTCCCCTTCAGGACAGTTTTTGGTAAATTTGGGCATGCCATCATCATTAACAATGCAATGAATAGGAAGATAAATTTGCCTTAGGGGTCATGCCAGAAAGCAAGGGCACGGGTTGGGGGTAGCTCTTGGCTGGCAAAGCTGATTGTGAGCTATAGATCTGGGTTGGCAAAAGTAGGGGGTGGAAAGATTGACATCAGAAGTATCACTGCAGTCCATGATACTAGCCAAGTACAAGAAGGGTATAACCAGGACCCACAGTCCTCCTTCCCCTTCAGATCCCCTCACTACTGCCTTCATAGCACTTCAGAGTGGCCAAGACACCTCTGTCTGTCTGTTTCTCTCTCTCTCAATGTGTATCTCCCACTCTCACCCTCTCTGTCTCTGTCTCTCCTCCCCCCTCCCTCCTCTCTCTATCTACATACATACATACATACATACACACATGATATGTATAGATATAGATATATATCCATCCCTTGACTTTTCTTTCTTCTTTATTGGCCAAGGAAAAAAGTCCAGGGAATTTTAAGATCTGACTGACTTAAGAGGGGGAAGGGGAATGGGGGGAAATCTCAGACATTAGTCCCAGAACCGTTCTTGGTCTCACTAAACCAACAAACTAGCAGGAAGGAAGTCAAAGGACTGGCTGCCTTTCCCTAGGTAATGTACTTATGACAGTTTCACCCCCAAGGACTTAGTCACCTCTGTAGTCTGTTTCAATAGAATTCAAGAAGTTGTTAGAGATGATGGAGGACTTTGGACTGAGGACCCCTCTGTCCCCTAGTAGACCAGTAGACTAGAAGCTAGGGATGGGAAAACGGGCAGGGCACATTTGGTTATTAAGGGGCTTTCCTCACACTCCTGGGTACCGTTTTACCACCCCCCCCATCAAAGCAGACTTTGGCCATCATAAAAGGTTGGGTATAACCTAGTTAGAGAAAGAGAGAGAGAAGGAATTCCTTAGGAAGATTGCACCTATTTTACTTGCTCCCAGAGGTCAGAATGAGGACCAATAGGTAGAAGTTGCAGGGAGGAGGGTTTGGGCTCAACATAAGGAACAAATTCTAGACAATTAGAGCTGTTCAAGAGTGGAATGGGTTATTTCTCATGCAGGTATTACTATTATAACAATGACAATGATAACACAGGTAGCACAGTGGATAGAGAGAAAGATTTGAGTTCAAATCCAGTCTCACACATTTACTAGCTATGTGACCCTGGGCACACAAGGTCTATCCACCTGAGTTTGGCCTCAGGCCAAACTGCCTCAGTTTCTTCATCTGAAAAAAGGGAATAATAATAGCATCTAATTCTCAATGTTATGATGAGAATGAAATAAGGTAGTATTTGTAAAACACTTTGAAAACCTTAAGATGATATGTAAATGCCAGTTAATATTAATATTAATTCATATTTACAAAGTACTTTCTCCATAAGAAGCCTGTGAATTAGATAGTGCCTATTTTATTATTCCCATTTTACAGATGAGGAAATTAAGGCTCATAAGCATATATGTGACTTATCCAATGGGGTCATAGTAATCCAACCCACATCCTCCTAATTCCAGTGATATTACCATTACATCATAGAGCATACATGATTTCCCATATACACTGGGATTGCTCACATAGATGCTGGTTGACCATGTGATGGGGTAATTGTATTGAAGATCCTCTTGCTTAGGTTTGAGTTGAACTGGATGGCTTTGGAAATTCCTTCTAATTCTGACATTCTACATTCTTCTGGGTCAGTGGGAGCGCTAACAACACATTACAAATTCAATACTGTCAGGAACAAGGGGGAATTACTACACATAGCTACACATAATAAATTAGCTACACATAATAAACAATGAAAAGGAAGGAGGAAAACAGAGGAAGAAGAAAGAGAAAAAGTAGATGAAACTACATCCATTGGGTCTGGTTTTATTAGGGAGAGGAATAGGCCAGTTCAAATTAAACACATTTGCAAATGCAGTTTTACTACTTGCAAGTACGTACATTAACCTCTACTAATTACCAATCAAGATCTCTGAGGTTGTATTTATTGAATTCATTGAGTACATGCAAATGAAAGATGCTAAGTGCTTTAAAAAAAATCTTTAAGAAGTTTAAACAGGGGGCAGCTAAGTGGTGCAGTGGATAGAGCACCGGACCTGGATTCAGGAGGACCTGAGTTCAAATCCAGCCTCAGACACATAACACTCACTAGCTGCGTGACCCTGGGCAAGTCACTTAACCCCATTGCCTAACCAAAAAAAAAAAAAGAAGAAGAAATTTAAACAACAGTTTAACCCCAGACTGTGGTCTACTAAAAGATATTGTGGTAGAACCATGGAGTAGAAGGCAGAACTACTCAATTCCTTGTCTACCAAGCCAGACAAATGATCTACCAAAGGAGAATAGAACAAAAATGGTTAGCGGTGAGTTAAAGCCCAACACAATTGGGGAGATTGGAAGAGAACAACTACTTACTCTGAATGCATTTAGGTTACCAGGTGCAGAGGAATTGAATCCCAGAATACTGAAGAAACTAGTGAATATAAGCAGAAGTGTCCCTGTAATTGTTTAACAATTGACTCTCTTGGGGGTGGAGGAAGTACTACAGGACACATTTTTAAGGTTAATCTGCATTATTAATGTTCTTCTCCATTGCTTTCTTAAGTCTAGACAATCAACAAAACAATAAATCAATCCCTGATATGCAATTTTTGCTGATTCTGAGGTATGAATGATCACATTGAAATTTTAACAATCAGTTCTCATATGCTTTTTCAAGCTGGCTCCAATACACCCATGGGTATGCCTGGCAAGCCAATGCCCAATGATCTTTGAAAAATCATAGTGAATTTGAATGACACTGTGGAATCAGACACACTGTGCTAGAATAGAAAGAGTCTTGAGATTCTGACTCGGGGGTCCAATTTGCTTCTAGATTCTGCCATTTACTCCTTGTACCACTGAGGAAATCACTCAATCTCTCCATGCCTCAGTTTCCTCATCTGCAAAATGAGGAGTTTGGACTAAATGACCTCAAAAGTCTCTTTCAGCTCAAGTTTATTTTCCTAAGGGCAAATTCCTAATTTTGAAAAAGAGAAAAAAAAGTCTGCAAACTTTAAAGCAATGAATTGGACTTGGATCCCTGACAAAAATCTAGAAAGTAGAAATGCCTGTCTAACCTCATTTCCCTTTCTGACAGGATAATTTTATAGATTAGGGAAATGCTATAGACATAGTATACCTAAATTTTAGTGAAGCATTTGACAAAATTGTTCTTACTATCCTTCTGGACAAGATGGAGAGAACTAGTCTAGAATATTACATAGTTAGGCATATTGTGAATTGGTTAAAAGATTGGACCTAAAGCATAGATAGATCAAAATCAATGACATTACTGAATTGATAGCAACTTTGAGAGAGTTCTCTTGGTGGAATATCTCAAAAATCTGTCTTTAGCTCTGAGCTGTTTAAAATTTTTTTTATCAATCATGGGAATAAGGTCATAGATGGCAAAGCTATGAGAGAATAGCTAATATATTAAATGATAATGTCAGGGTTCAAAAGGACTTCAATAGGCTAGAATGATGGATTGACTCAAATGAGTCAAACTATAAAAATCTCAGCTTCAGGAGGAGATGTAAACAACAGTTCATTTGAAAAGTGGTTTGGGCTTCTTAACAGCATGACATGAGAGTCAAAAGATGCAAATAAAAATTAAGGCAACATTAAAAAGAGAAATGTCCAAACAAGGGAAGTCTGCCTAGGTCAGACTATGTCTAAAGTGCTATATTATATTCAGCTTTAGGGTTCAAAATTTTATAAAAGGCATTATTATGTAGGGATGAATCCAGAGGAGAATAGCCAAGATGGTTTGGGGACTGAAGTCCTTGCCATATCTGGACTCATTGAAGGAACTTAGGGTGCGTAGCCCAGAGGAGAGATCCTCAACACCTAGCACCATGCCTGGCACATAGTAAGTACTTAACAAATTCTTGTTCAGTGGCTGATTGGTGGAATGCTTATCATCAATCAATAAACATTTATTCAGTGCCTGCCATGTTCCAGGAACTGTGCTAATCGTAGAATACCCAAGCTAGTCCATTCTATTTGTTCATTTGGTTTTTTTGTTTTTTTGGTTTTGGTTTTGGGGTTTTTGTTTTTTTTTTTTGGAGATGAAGCAACTGAAGTCCAGGTCTTAGAAGTAGGGATAGGTGGCTTCAAGTATAGGCAGGATTATCATATGGAAGAGAACTTTAGACTGGTTCTAAGTGAGGGTAGAAGTAGAAGCAAATAGTGTAAGGTGCAGAGAAGCAAAGAGTAATTGATCAGATGAAATTGCAGAGAGGCTCAATGTAAGAAAAAGCTTCCTAACCATCCAAGCTATGCAAATGTGGAATGGGCTATCTTGGAAAGTAGTGGGTTCTCCCATGGTAGAGGGGTTCAAGCAGCATCTGAACAACCACTTGTCAAAGTAGGAATTCTTGTTCAAATATAGTATGTACTAGATAGTCTCTGAAGTCCCTGCCAAACCTGAGACTCTGTGAAATGATTTATTTGCCTACCCCATGTAATCTGCTGGGTTTCATTTCCTGATAGGATTTTGCAGGCTTATGCAGAGCCCTATTCTGTCAGAACTATGCCCTCAGCTTATGCTCAGCCACACTCACTGAGTATCTATATTGGTTTAGTTGTCCCAGTGAACATCCCCTCCACTTCAAACACAGACTTCCACTCCTCCCCAACCCTTTCCAACTTACCTCAATACGGCCAGTTCTAGGAGTTCCCGTCTTGGCATTTCCCTGAGTGACTCTGACAGACAGCTCACTGCTTTCTTTCAAATGGAGAGTCATTCCACTAATTTCTTTGAAAAGACCACAATTTGGACAACCTGAGTTGTTATAGTACTTACGTCTTAAATTTAGCTCTGCGTTTTCTGGGAAGTAAGGCAAGAAGAGAAACAGGTTAGTCGTATTTT